AAAGAAGAAAATATCTGCCAGGTGGTAGGGAAGAATGATAATCTTATTTTCTTTTTTTTTTGACTTTGGTGCTGTGAACACTACCTGAAGAACCAGAATTTTATTTTTTATAACATGTCTTATATTTTAGACTATTTTATAGTATCTCTCATGTGAAATGAAAAGCGTAAACACTCAAGTCAATTCTTTTTACACAATCAAAAGGTGGTACCTTTGTTTTGATCACCAGTTTGGTTGGGTTTTTTTGGTAAGTGTTTTACGGCGCTTGCAACTGCATACGGTCATACTATGAGCGCGCGGGACACATTAAATATTTTCAGTTTGATAGGAATTTTTAATTTTGAATTCTGCCTGGGTGGCGACCAAAGCATACTCTTGTCGATTTTAGGACCACCAAGGGATGTTTAACGTGCGCAACGGGACCCGCGTGATTTTTAGATCCGAGGAGGCTAGGTGTTAGACTTTACCTACCCTAAGACCAGGAATGTGGCTGAAAGATAGCAGTAAGACGGAGCCAAAAAGGATTAGCAGTAGAAAGGCAGCAGAAAGAGTCACGATCCCAAAAGGAGGGGGCAAAATGGAGACGAAAACAGGCGACAGAGCTTGGTTAGAGAGCAGGAAAGGATGTGAAAGGAGAAAATACTAGAGGAAAAAAATTCAGTCAATGTCAGGTTTCGAACCCGGGATCTATTTAATGAGAAGCGAACGCCGTAACCTCTAGACCACGAGAGCCCTCAATGGTATGTATATTATAAGTCATTACAGAGAACACAAAATGAATAGACGTTCGAGAGGGAGTGCACCACTGTATTAGGTTCTACTTCTTTTTTCTCTAAGTTGCTTCTACCTGTTTGTCTGAGGTTTCAATTGCAAAATATTTGCATAATTATAATATATACATTCCCGGCTGCACTTGTTGCCCTCTTGCTTAAAAAAAAAAAACGCCAACAAAGCGTGAATATAAAATCGATTGTATCACGACACGTTGGAATCAGTCGCTCGTTAATTTTTGTGCATGTGGAGTTATTGGTATCATCTTATAGCCTGTTCATTTGTCCTGCTTAAGATAAAAATAATAGCCCTCTATCTTAAACAGAAGTTGAGATATTTGCGATTAAAGGAGGTGAGGGTCGCCTGGGGTCAGAGGTAAAATTAACGAGAAAATGGTTGCCAAAACCTGGAGACTTCCAAAGCTTGAGTGTCCTTGAAAACTGCAAGTTTGCATATTTTTGTGTCTTTGATAAACGATTTTTCAGTAATGTGGTTTTAAGGGGGAATTAAAGAAGATGATCCCAAAAACAAATGTTTGCTAAAAAAAAAACTAATTTGTCATAAAATGGAAATGTCGATTTCTCCTATTTCATTATTTTTGACGAGCACCTAATTTAACCACGATGCCACGCAGGCAATTCATTTCGTTTTTTCTTTGTTCAACACTTTAATATAGAGAAACAACTAGTGTAATTCAGTCAAGATATGCCAGTAGAATTTGCCCCCACCCCCCACTCAACACACCCACACAAACACGCACACACGCAACACATACACAAACACAAACACACACACACA